ATAGGTGACAGTAGAATAAGGGTTCTGGCTCCTGGTGGCTGTATTGCCACACTCCTGTACTAGAATGGCTCGCAGTGCTGGCAAAATGGGTATGTGCATAGTACACACAGTGTATGATCTGAAAATGTAGACCTGAGAATGCTGTCTCTCTCACAAGATGCCTCGTAATCAGGGATAACTATGAAGGCCTACCCTAAGAAGGGCCTTTGAACTGAGAACTTGGGATTAGATGAGAATTCACTAAGCCAGCCAAGGCAAAAATCTCTTTGTTGTCCTGGTCTCTTCTCATATATCAGTCCATCAGCAGGTCACACCCACTCTCTCTTCCGATCATATATCCAAAATCCCACCTCCATCACTTCTGCTACCCACCAAGTCACACTTTTGTTTGGACCATCTAGAATCCTGCTTTTACTCTGATCCCTGCAGCCTTTTCTCCACATAGCAGCCAGTGGGATCCTTTTACAATGGATAGTTTCACTCTGTTGCTTCAAACTCTCCATCTCACAGAAAATAAAACCATGTTCCTTACCAGAGCCTACAAGGCCCCAAGATCTGTGTGTGGCTACTGTCTGTCCTCCTTTTCTTTTTCTCCCTTGCCCCCTCCACTCAGTCACAATGGCTTCCTTCCTGAGCTTCAGACAGTCAGGTTTTTGCCCTTCCTCGTTATCTGCCTGGAATGTTCTCCCATTGTACCTTTGTGGCTCATTCATTCATGCCCAGACTCTACTCAGATGTCACGATCACTGAGCGGGCTTCATTGAGACTCCTACAGGATCCTTCACTTCCTCAGGTCCTATACTTGCTTTATTTGTTTTCTTATTTTGGGGCGGTAGTGGGATTTGAATTCAGGGTTTCACACTAGGAAAGCAGGCAGTCTACCACTTGAGCCAGACATCTAGTCCATTTTGCTCTGTTTATTTTGGAGATGGAATCTGGAGAACTATTTGCCAGGACTGGCCTTGAACCTTGATCCTCAGCCTCTCAAGTAGCTAGGATTACAGGTGTGAGCCACTGGTGCTCAGCCTTTATTTGTTCTCATAGTGCTCTCAACTCCCAATGTTACTTTGTTTAAATGGAAAAAAAAAATTTCTCTACTCCCAAAACACTTTAGCGACCAAATGTGTAAGGTTTTCCCACACCAAGTGTGATGGGTTAATCTTGACTGTCAACATGATTGGATTGAGAAGGACCAGGAGATAAGGAAAGCACACTTCTCAGTTTTCCAGAGAGAATTAACTAAGGTAGCAGTACCACCTCATGGCCAGGGGACCTGGATGGAATAAAAGGAAGAAAGTCCACTAGCATATGGACTCTGACTCACTCTCTCTCTCTCTCTCTCTCTCTCTCTCTCTCTCTCTCTCTCTCTCTCTCTCTCCCCCCTTCTTCCCTCCCTCCCTTCCTCCCTCCTTCCCGACCACCATGATGTGAGGTACTCTGTCATACCACACCCATGCCTTCCCCACAATAATGGACTGAAACCATGAGCCAGAATTAATTGTCCTTTCTTAAGTTGTTTTGCTCAGGTTGTTTTGTCACAGTGATGAAAAGTCTTAACACACGAAGCAGTTCTCCAGTTCTCTGTAGACCCCATCTTGGTGGCCTACAATTCATTGCTGACACTATCTACCTGGTATTTAGCATCTGATCCTACAAGTTAAAGAGCTTGGTCCTGGGCCAGGCATGATATGCATTCCCGTAATCCCAGGCATGAGGGAGGCGTAAGTAGGAGGCTCAGGGTAAGAGGCCAGCCTAGGCAAAAATGCAAAGTCCTATCTGAAAAATAACTGAAGCACAAAGGGCTGGAGGCATGGCTGAAGTGGTAGAGCGCCTGCCTAGCAAGCTAGGCACCCTGTATTTAGAACTCCAGTACCTTCTAAAAAAGGAAAAATAGAGCTCAGTTCCACAATACTGCCCCCACTTCAGATGCCAGTCACACCTCCTAGGTTGCTGTCTGTATTTCTGATTAACTAGTAATAAGCATTCCCCTGACCCCCACTCCCCAGGGTTGATAATTTGTTATAACAAATTATCACAGAACTCAGAGAAATTTTACTTAATATTGTCAAGGATACAACTGAGGAACAGCCAATGGAAGAAATGCCCAAGGCCAGGTATGGGATGCATGCACCAGCTTCCCATGATGCATGCACCACTTTCCAATGATCACCAGTCCAGAAGCTCTCTGAACCCCAGAGTTGAGGGATTTTTATGAAGGGATCATCATGGAGGCCTGATTAATTATTAACTCAGTCTCCAGCCCCTTTATCTCCCCTAGAGGATGGAAAGTGGGTAGAGCTCAAGCATCCAAGCTTTTAATCTTGACTGGGTCTTTCTGTGACCATCCCCAATCCTGAAGCTACTCAGGACCCACCAGAAATCACCTCATTAGAACAAAAGATGCTTCCATCTCCCAGGAAATCTCAAGGGATTTAGGAGCCTGTGTCCAAGATGCTGTCATCCCTGCCAGGAAAATACAAGGGTTTTAAGAGCTCTGTATCAGGACCTGGGACAGAGACCAAATATATATTTCTCATTTTGTCACAATGTTTTTATTTTCTGCTCAATTCTTTTTGTTTTTACCCCACAAAAATATAAGTTGCATACAAATAGGAATTTTATCATTGCTGATCCCTAATGCTTAGACAGTGCCTAGCACATAGTAGGTGCACAATTGATTATTGTGTGAATTGAATCATGAATGAGCCAGATAAACAAAGGAGAAGGGATAGGCATAAATGTGTCAGGCGGCAGGGACTGCATATGCAAAGGGTTATAGCCCTGGGGGTTTCAGAACTGTGAGACAGGGAGAGCTAATGATAAGAGCAATGAGGAGAGAATACTGGACTAGACCGTAGAAAACTGTGTAGGCTGTGTTACAAGATTTTGACCTTTGTTCTAGGGCAATGAGAAACCATTAAAGGTTTTCCTGTGGATTGAGAATTACGTTTTTATAAGATCCCCCTGGTTACTTGCTAACTCTGTAGTGATGGGGTGAATGGCAGCAGGGGACCAGCAAGACAGCTGGCCATGCTTTGCATTCAGAAGCTGGGGGAAGAAGATGGAAAGAGACACAACTTGGATATAAAATTAACTGGGAATATTTCCTGTTCTAATCCAAAGTGGCTGGTTATGCCAAGTAGACTGGAAGAGACAGACACAAGCTAAGATTTAGGATCTCTTCATTGATACGAGCCAAGCAACTGGGTGCCAGTGGTTCACATCTGTAATCACTGCTACTCCAGAGGCAGAGAGCAGGAGGGTTGCAGTTCAAAGCCAGCCCCAGACAAATAGTTCATGAGACCCTATCTCAAATATACCCAACATAAAAAAGGGCTGGAGGAGTGGCTCAAGTGGTAGAGCACCTACCTAGCAAGCATGAGGTTCTGAGTTCAAGCTTCAATACCATTAAAGAAAAAATTGAGCCAAGTAAGTAAGGCATTCTTTTTCCTCCATGTAAATATTTAATGAGTCTTAATGGAGCTTTTTAAAAATTTCGTAGCATAAAATAATTGTACCGGGGGTTCATTGTGATATTTCCATTCATGCATATAATGTGCTTCGATCAAATCCACCCCATCTATGTTACTCTTTCTTAAGTAAGAAATAGTTTTCAGTGGGTTTCATTGTGCTGTTACGTACATGTACATAATGCACTTCAATCCTGATGGAGCTTCTGCCATGCACCAGACCTCTGCCAAGAGCTGCAGCAAACACATCCTAATGAAAATCGTGCCCATTTTGTCTTTCTGTACCTCCCCCCTTGCTGGTGGTCACTTCTTTCGTTCTTGTTTTTACCCATCTGCTTCATATTATGTACATCTTTTTTGTCCTCTCTACCTACCCCAAGGCCCAGTCAAAGTTAGGTGCTCAATACATCTTTGAATGAGTGTAAATTTTTCTGCTTAAATGCTAGTGGTCCTCGGGGAGCCAGTTTCCCAAACTGGGGTTTCTCTGCAAAGTTTACTGAGATCCTTATATCAAAGCCATTTCAACTGTCCTAGCCAGTTAAGGAAGAACATCTCCTGACTACCTATCTCATAAGACTATTGTTAGAATTTTAAAAATTAAGGACTGGTAGAGTGGCTCGAGTGGTAGAGCGCCTGCCTAGCAAGTGTGAGGCCCTCAGTCCAAACCCCAGAACTGCCAAAAAATGTATAAATTAATTAAAAATTATTAAAGGGGCTTTGCAAACATGAAAGCTCTTTGGATTATAATCCCCTGCATTCACACTGCTCTCTTTATTCAACAAATATTTATTGAGTACTCACTATAGGCCTGTGCTAGGTGCTGGATGGACAGGACAATCTCTGCCCTCGTGGAACTTACACTTCTTGGGTACTAGACGTCTGTGGGTCAAGGTGAAAAGGATCTGAAAGTCTAGCCGCTGTCACTTCACAGAACACCCCAGAAGCTGGCATTTCCCCTTGCTTCGCACTGCCAAGCTCCTCATTGCCCACGAGGAGCAAAACCCTCAGGTACTCCCAGAAGATGGTTTAACTAAATAATATTTGAATAATTGCACCCTGCAAGCGACAACAGCTTTTCTTTAGTCTTTCCCCCACTAGTCTCTGCAGTGATTATGTTTATAATCTGATTGTTCAGTCCAGTTCTCCATCCTCTTGCATTGTCAGTCAGCAGAGGCCTAAGAAACCCTGGTCCTAATTATAGTTACGATTTTGTGGCAGGCAGTGAAGTCACGTAGCTTCCAGAACCCTAGATTTCTGGGGGACGTTAGGGTGGTCCTGAAAATGATGTGATCCCTGCTGGGTTTCCAACCCTCCTCTTTGAACTTTATAAGCCTCGGTTCTGACCACCAAGACATAGTATCAAAACTTTCCTGGGGCAGCCTCGATTTGGGAAGGCACAGGCTAGGGAACCCGGGGAGCAGGATGCGGTACGCGGAGACGGGTTCGAGCGTGCACACTAGCGCCCTCTCCGGCCAGATGGCTCAAGAAGGGGCGGGGCCTCGCCTGACCGGTCTGGGCGGCATCCGCTGGGCGGCGGAAGTGCTTCTCTGCTCCTGCCACTGGATTATGGAGACTGTGGCACTGTGAATCCGGTGTGCCGATTGCAGGGGCAGTGGCCATGGAGGCCGTGCTTAACGACCTAGTATCTGTGGAAGATCTGAAGGTGAGGCCTGGCCCCGAGGGAAGCAAAGGGGAGAGTCGAAGGGAGGGTGCCTCGGATAGTCAAGCAGAGGCCAAATCCTCTCCCAGCCTCGGCTTTGTCGAAGGAAGCCGAACTATAGCTCCCGACAGCTTCTGCGGTGCCAGGCTCCTGCCCGAAGGGTGCGCTTTGCCCCGGAGGCTGGTGGGAGTTGTATTTCTTGAGCCTGCTCGCCTCAGACCTAAGGCCTGGAGTCTAATGGTGAAAGGCTGATGAGTTCGGGGTTCGTGCAGAGTTGGGAGCTCAGGGTGCCCCTTCAGTGGTGAGGCAAAACATCACCCATCATAAACTTTCATGTGGTTTTGAGTCTGGCACGTGATGTGTTCATTGCATGCCGTATTCCAATCTTTGTAGTTGGAGAAGGGAGGCACTATTTTTTGCCGTTTTTCAGGCAGATGACGTCCATATCCAGTAGGGTGGGGCAGGATGGGGCTGGCATCCTCGGGCGAGGACCGCATCCTCGGGCGAGGACCGCGTGGGATGTCGAACAGTTCCGACAGTGTGTTTACTGTTCAGCCACTCGGGGTCAGCTGCTGCCTGGAGCTGCCACCAGGTGGCATCTCCCTCGGTACCACGGGGGGCGGGGCGGGGGGAGTTCCTCTCCAAAGAGCTGGGCCTCCGGCACCAAGAACAAAATGCCTGGGTCCCCAGGGATGGAGATTGCAGTGGCTGGGGTACTAAGTACCAAGAACCTTGAGGAGATAGGGACAGACACAGGAAAATGGAGGGTAACTGGAACATAGCCTGCCAAGTCCAGATAGAGAAAGATTGATGCCCCTCAGTTCTAAATGATTCCTCTCCTCTTCTATGGCAGAAGTTTGAAAAGAAATTTCAGTCTGAGCAGGCAGCAGGCTCGGTGTCCAAAAGCACGAAGTTTGAGTACGCCTGGTGCCTGGTGCGGAGCAAGTACAATGATGACATCCGTAAAGGCATCACACTGCTGGAGGGTGAGGCGCTGGGCTACCCAACTCCCCTTGCCAACTGCCAGCGGGGCTGTTTATTGCCATTGGCCTCATTCAACTTACAGTAATGAGTAAATTACTCATTACTGTAAATCTGCTGCACAGTTGGACCCCTAAGTCTACAGCTTCCACATCTGTGAATTCACTCAGATGAAAAATATGTTGAAAATAAGACACATTCTCTACTGAACATTTATAGGCATTCTGTTGTTATTCCCTAAACAATACAGTATAGCAGTTGTTAACTTAGCATTTGCATTATATTAGGTATCATAGTAATCTAGAATGATTTTAAAGTATGTGGAGGGAGAAGGGTGCTGTGGCTCAGAACTGTAATCCCAGCTATGAGGGAGGTGGAGATTAGGAGGACTGAGGTTCAATGTGAGCTCCGACAAAGAGTTATCAAGACCCCATCTCAACAAGCCAGGCATGGTGGCGTGCCTGTGATTCCAGCTATGTAGAGATACAGATAGGAGGGTCACAGTCCCAGGCCAGCCCCATTCAAAAGTTCAAGATCCTATTCGAAAAATAACTAAAGCAAAAAAAGGTATGGGGGCCTGGTTCAAGTGATATAATGCCTGCCTAGCAGAACCTGAGGCCCTGAGTTCTAAATCTCAGTACCACCAAAAAAAGGTGTCTGGGGTGGCTGAAAGAGTGTCTCAAGTGATAGAGCACCTGCAAGCATGAGGCCCTGAGTTCAAACCCTAGTACTACCAAGAAAAAGTGTCTGGAGGACATGAGTAAATTATATGCAAATACCACACCATTTTATGTAAAAGACTTGAGCATCCATGGATTTTAGAATCTGAAATGATTCCTGGAACCAGTCCCCCTCTTGTACAGATAAATGATTTTTTTTTTGTTTGTTTTTTGAGGCAGGGTCTTACTGTGTAGCCAGGCTGGTCTTGAACTGGCTATGTACCTGGAACTTAAGATCCTCCTGCCTTAGCCTCCCAAGTGCTGGGATTGCAAGGCATGTACCACCTCACCCAACCAAGAGTCTGTCTTAATGCAAATACTGACACCGTATAGTTGCCAGTTCCGATTTTTCAGGTTTCCTCTATAACAGGGCCCAGAAGTAGAAGTGGTGTTTGAGCATTGCCAGTCTAGTTGAGGACACAGTGAAGACTCTTGGGAACATTTCAGAGCCAGCAAATCTACTTATTGGCAAATTCATGCATCAAGTATAGCCTGCAGGAAGGCGCCAAATTAAGAGTCAGGCTGGGTCACTCAGGGAAGATGAGTTAAAGAAGAAGGAGGGCAGACATATTAACAATAATTAGGCTGGGTGCCAGTGGCTAATACTGAAATCCTAGTTATTCAGGAGGCAGAGACAAGACCCTATCTTGAAAAACCCTTTCACAGAAAAGGGCTGGTGGAGTGGCTCAAGGTATAGGCCCTGAGTTCAAACCCCAGTACCAGAATAAATAAATAATTTGGTGGTAGATAATTGCAATGAAATATACAACAGATGCCAGAACAGAGTAGAGCTGCCTTGTTTGGGTTTTTGTTGTTGTTGCTGCTGCTGCTGTTTTGTTTTTTTCTTTGCTTGGCAGTACAGGGGTTTGAACTCAGGACCTCATGCTTGCTAAGCAGGCATTGTACCACTTGAGCCACTCCACCAGCCCAAGCTTCCTTTTTTGTTTAGTTGGTTGGTTTGGATTTATTTTTGAAACAGGATCTCACTGTGCAGCCCAGACTGGCCTTGAACTCATGATCAATGCCTGACAGGGATAGAACTTGACTTCTCTGGTGCCTTGATTGCCTGTTGCTTCACAAAGTTAACTGTAAAAGATTCCCAGATGTCTGTCACTGGGGTTTTGAGCAGCCCTGGCTCATGCTGCCCCAGCTCTTAACTGGGAAGCTGAGACTGACCAGAGCTGACATGCAGGTCCAGGGTGGTGACTTTTCCGGGATCATAGAAGGAGCCAGAGAGTGATGGGGGAGGGGAGGACCTAGAAGCAATTTTCACCCTCTTCCCTCCACATTCCCCCAGAGCTGCTGCCTAAAGGGAGCAAAGAGGAACAACGAGATTATGTCTTCTACCTGGCTGTGGGGAACTACCGGCTCAAGGTCAGGCAGCACGCCTCCCTTCTTCCCACCTTACCCCCAACTTAGGAGACCACCTTCTCTAGGCAGAGCTTATCAGGAAGTCTAAAGAAGGGCAGTGGACAGGGGTAGTGGCAGGTGTACAGATGCAAGGTGACATCAGGACAAGACCCTGAGAAAAAGTTAGAGAGGATCAGGGTGCTGAGGGTGTGGGTACCAAGATGACGTCAGGATTGGGGTGCAGCCCCAAGCCTTAGGCTGTTATCTCCCCTGGCTTATCACCCCCACACAGTTAGGTTGTTTGTGGACTCTACTCCATTGGGTGGGGCTGGCGTGAGGGTGGGGAGGAGCCTGGGCCAGAGAAGGACAGGCCCCTGGGTTAGGTAAGAGGGGTGCTAGAGTCCCAGGGTGCCTATGGTGTGTGATGTGTTTTCCCTGAGTACAGGAATATGAAAAGGCTCTAAAGTACGTGCGAGGGCTGCTGCAAACAGAGCCCCAGAACAACCAGGCCAAGGAACTGGAACGGCTCATTGACAAGGCCATGAAGAAAGGTGAAAGCTTCTGCTTTGTTAAGCCCTCTGCCTTCCCTCAAGCCAGGGCCCTTTGGACCCCTCCTCTAAACAGTTTCTCAACTCCCTCCTTAAGCCTTCTGTCTGCAACCCTTGGAGTCCCATCCCCAGACTCCTCTCGTCTGTGCTGCAGCAGGGCCTGGGGGAGGCCATGGTCAGGGTCCCTGGGGGGCTGGACTGAATTCCTGACAGCCTTCCTTTTGCTTTCCCCAGATGGACTAGTAGGCATGGCTATCGTTGGTGGCATGGCCCTGGGTGTGGCAGGACTGGCTGGGCTCATCGGACTGGCTGTGTCCAAGTCCAAATCCTGAAGGAAAACCGCACTTCTCTGCTCGGAACACCTGGGAGCCCGTGGGGGACACTTGAAGAAGGGCCTGTCCGTTCTTGCCGGCCCTTCCCTGTTCTTCACCTGCACCCTGTTATTATCCTGTATGGCCTTCAACCTCCTCTCCCCTGAGACCTGTTGTTTAGCCCCAAGTCATGTGCTTTGAGATGAGTGTAAATAAAATTGGGCTCTGGCTTGGGAACCTCGAGTCTGTGTTGAGAGAGGCGCATATTCACTGTGTGCACTGTGGTGGTCACCTTTGGTCCTTCCCTGTCCTGTGCCCATCTGCCCCCACCCTGCAGCTGGTGGGTTCTCTTTTGTCCACTTAGCAGCATAACCACACACTTCCTTCCTTCCTTCCCCCCAATACCCCAAAACTATGTCCTTGAGCTGTGGTGGACAGCACGGAGACGTGTCCTTTTCATGGTCCCAGAATCCTGGTGGGAGAGAACCAGAGGAAGGAACGGGCTGGTATTTATGACTCTAGTCTCCTCTGACCCACTCAGCTGCTTTAGAGTGGAGTTTTCCACACTAGGGGGCTGCCACTGGGCTTCCTCCCAGACCCCCTCCCTTTGTTTTCCTGTGTCTCCCCTTCCTCTACACCATCCTTTGAAGGGGCTGCCACAGCAAGGGGAGGAAGCTCATCTGGCCTGGAGGAGGCAGGGTTTGGCGGGCGGCAGTTAGGGGCACAGCCTGCCCCAGTCCCAGCCTGTGGGATGGAAGGCAAGGCCCCACCCAGTCTTGTTCGTCCCACGCCCCCTGGTGCCAGGCTCTGCGTGGGCCTGTTTGGCTTCACTGCATACCTCTCGTTCCATAGCCCCTGCCAGGCCCCCTGGAGCCCGGAAGAAGCACCTGAAGGGAGCACGCAGGAAGCCTGACATGGGGAAGGTGGGGGTGTTTCCCCTTGGCCCGCACAGTGATGTCTCCTCTGACTGGGACTGAGCTCTAGGGCCGTTTGCCAGGAGAGCTGGCCCCGCTGTGGTGTAGAGGAAGGAAATCGACGTGTACACTAAGACAGGTGTTCAGCCTGGCTTGGGGTGGGGACCCAGAGACTTACAATCCATCATAATTAACTAATAGAGCAGGTGACAGTTTCTGGTAATTAAATGGATTAGAGATTAGCTGCAGGTCAGGTTCTGGGCCTGTGATCCACCCCTGGGGCCTTTGGCAGCAAGATCAAGCTCGATGCCGGAAGTCAAAGGTCAGCTCGAGGAGGGGGAAATTCAAGTTCAGGAAGTTTGGAGGAAAGCAGCTCTGGCCGCCTCACCTCAGTCCTGCGCACTCAGACCTGGAACGGTCCCTAATGTGTGCTGAGATTCCAATTCCTTTAACAACCTAGGAAGCCAATATCGTTATCTCAGCAAGCCCCAGGCAGCAGAAAAATCAAGTCTGAGGCCCTTTGGTAAATGATGGAGTCTAGTTTGAACAAGGTTGGCTGGATTCCAGAGCCGTTGGTCTCCCCCAGCTGCCCGCCCCTTACAACCTTCATCGTCCTTGGAGACTCAAGTGACCCAGCCCCTAGGTCTTCAAGTGCCTTGGATTGTTCTCACCATCCAGAGGGGGTGGCTGTGCTCCCTGATCCTTCGTGGATGGTCGTGGTGGGCTGGTTGGGTTCTTTCTCTCTCTGTTACCATCTCTGTCACTTGTCTCTCAGTCACCTTACCCCTCTTTGACTCCCTCTGTCCATTCTCTGGTCTTGAAAGCTGAGTCAAAGTCAGTCACTTCCCCTTGGCTCCTGATGCCTCCGGTGAGGGCCGTTCCTGGTCTGTATCCGTTAGTCTTCTGGGTAAGTCTGCACCCCCCGCCGCCACCCCCCCCCCCCCGCCCCGGTAGGGCGGGGAGTCTGGGGCAGCCCAGAGGCTGGGGGAGGGGGTGGACTTTTGGCCCGTTTATTCCATCCATCTCTGTCAACAGCTGCCTCTCGGGCTTGGCTCATTCCTCTGACCTGCAGGGAGGAAGAGAGACCAAGACAACCGAGGAGACAAACCTGGAGACAGACCTGAGCCTGGAGAAGACAGACAAGGCCACAGCTGGACTTCTGCTCTTCCTCTCTCTCTCCCCCCAGCCTGTCTTAACACCCTTCCTTAGCCTAAGCCCCTTTGAGCTCCCTAGGGGTGTTACCCCTGCCCCTCTCTGGGGCCCCAGCCCCTTGGGGGGCCTGCATCCCAGGATGTCGATAGCTGTGGAGACCTTTGGCTTCTTCCTGGGGGCCCTGGGGCTGTTGATGCTGGGGGTGACCCTACCAAACAGCTACTGGCGAGTGTCCACCGTGAACGGGAATGTCATCACCACCAACACCATCTTCGAGAACCTCTGGTATAGCTGTGCCACCGACTCCATGGGCGTCTCCAACTGCTGGGAGTTTCCATCCATGCTGGCTCTCTCTGGTACAGAGTGGGAAAAGGGAGGTGGGAGGAGGAGGTCGGAGAAGCCCTAGGAGAGGAGGCTGCCTTTGGTATGACAGGGAGTAGGGATCAAGCTCTGGGTCCTTGGCTGCCACAGCCAGGAACTCTGGACACAACATGATCTGAAACTCAAGTGAGACCTTGTCACACGTGGCCTGCTGTCTTAATGTGACCCTCTGCCAGTGGTCACAAGAGCGGGCCCTCAAGTTAAGCTCCTGCCTTTGCCAGCTTTGTGCCTTGGAAAGTGATGGAATGAGCTTCATCCCAGCCACCTGCAAGCTTAAAGAATAATAGTGCCAGTCCAGAGATGGCCACGAGGTGGTTAGCTCACTGTTACCATATAGGCATTTATTTATAGGTATTTCATGCCAGAGGAAATGCTGGGGTTGGCAGGGTGAGGATGGGACCCCATCTTCTACTCTTAGTGATGAATACACTGCCAGTCTCAAGTGCCCATGGCCTTGAGGTCTCTGCTCTGCTGAGCTCCAAAGGGCCCTAGTTGAGGCTTGGTTGCAGCAGAAGGGATGCAGGTCTGAACGTGCGCAGTAGAAGTGGTGTATGGACATGCATGTGTGTTTGGGCTCTCACACTGTGTTTTTTGAGGTTCTCAGAGGGCTGCAGCCTGGGCTTTAATTTAGGCCTACCATTCTCTGATGGCTGCAGCTCCTCCTGCCTCTAGCTTACCCCGTAGGACTAGCTCCACCCCTGTCATTTTCCTGCTGTAGACCAAGATGTGACCATGAACATTCTGTGGGGGGGGGTCCCCCACTCTGGGTCCTGGTCTTGCTCTTCTAACCACCCAACTGGTGGGAGGGGAGGAACTGAGGCCAGCACAGAGCAGGAAGCAAGGCCCCAGCAAGCCTCTCCTGGAATCTTGAAGATGCTCTGAGAGGTTACAGGGTCTGGGTGGGTCCTTGGTGCCTCACACTTGCCAACTCTCCTGAGGCAGGTGCAGAGGTATCATGCTTTCAGCCTTCTCTCCAGTGCATACTGTGTGTCGGACAGGTGCCACACCCCCTTCCAACCCCTATAAAACTAAGTCCAATTTCGGTCAAAAGTTCATAGCAATGAGTGTCCAGAAGGGGCTGTGGAGGCAGCAAGCCAGCAGCCTGGCCACCCACTGCATTGCTGTGAAGAGGACACTTTACTGCCAGCCTATCCACCAGAGAGGGGCCCCATGTGGCACTGTTGCCCTTGGCCTGCAGGAGGACATGAGTGTACAGAAATGACATGCAAGAGCTCACTGGAGGGGCTGGGTGCAGGGGTCACAGAGTTCCAGGCCTCCAGGTGCTCTTGTCACCCACCTCACCTTCTTCTTTGCATTGACACCTGTCCTTTCCTCACCTGTGCTGTTTCCTTAGTGTTCGCAGTAACCCTGCCCTGGAGATGCCAAGGTTAGCCTCATTTTACAGAAGCTAAACAACTCTGCAGAGCTAACAACCTGCCCAGTGTCACAGAGGTGGCAGAGCCGGGGAGCTGGAATTCCACTTCATTGTGTCTGAACCCAGGGCCCAGCTTATTACTCCATGGCCTGTTGTTGGGTCCCCAGAGGGATCCTGACTGTCATTTATCACCTTCCAGCTCTGCACCCTTAACCCCTTTCAGCCACGCTCGTGCAGGCCCTCTAATCACCTCTCCTTTGGTCTCCAGAGTTTCCTTGGGATTTAGAGTTGGTGGGGGAACTTTGGAGGGAATGCCTAGGAGTCAGAACATTCTCCCCGAGAACTTTGTCCCTCATCCCTACCCTCCAACTCCAGGCCACTTCACCTTTTCCTGGAAGGGACCCAGCCTTTCCCCTTCAACACCAAGCTCCAGCCCCACCCAGAAAAGGGGTGCAAGGTCGTTGGGAGTGTTTGGCAACTATCAGAGATGGAGGAGGAGGAGGAGTGGGGCCAGAAAGGGAGCCAGCAGCTTCCCTTTTAAAAAGGGGAAACTGAGGCACCCATCTGAACTAGACTGACTTGGATAGGTTCTGGGCCTTGGGTATCCCACCTTTCCAGATCAGAAACTGCCTAGACACTCAGCCACAGGCCACTGCTGCCCCCTGATGGTTATTCTGGGAAGAAACTCAGTTCAAGATGTCCCAGCCTTGTGCTAGGCACTTGGGTGGTGCCTGGAGAAGAAATCAAAGGTGGGGACCTGGATGGGGTGATCAGGAGCAGCTTCTGTAACACATGACAGCATGTGGTTGTGGTCTAATAGAGTGGTGTGTCTCAACCAGGGGAGATTTTGCATTTTCATTGCCACAGTTTGGGGGAAGGGAGAAATTGCTACTGACATCCCCCAGGTAGAGGTCAGAGGCACTGCTAAATGCCTGCCAGTACACGGGACAGTCCCCCAGAAACTAAGTATCCAGCCAAAAGTGTCAGTAGTGCCGAGGAGAAGTAAATTAGCAATATGTGCCCAGAGCAGGGGACGAAGGGGCTTGCTTGGATGGAGCTCAGAGGGGAAGGAGAGAACCTGAGAAACTGTAGGAATAAATCAGTGAGAAAACATAACTGAGCAGGGACTGCAAGGGGCTAGCTGTATGGACGAGGGGAAGGAGAGAGAGGGGCAAGGCTGACAGCTGCACCCTCTTCTCTTTCCCCAGGGTATGTCCAGGGCTGCCGAGCACTCATGATCACCGCCATCCTCCTGGGCTTCCTGGCCCTCTTTCTAGGCATTATAGGCCTGCGCTGCACCAGCATCGGGAGCATGGAGCTCTCTAGGAAGGCCAAGCTGGCAGCCACCGCAGGGGCTCTAAACATACTAGCCGGTAATTGGGGAAAGGAGATGGGTGGGGGTGGCTGGCTGCCACAGACCTTTGGGTTCTTGGTCCTCATCTCCAGCTCCCCACTCCTGGCTCTTCCACTCTTCCTGTCCACTCCACCTTCACACCTAGCCAGGTGTGAGCCAGGTGTAGCAGGGACTCCAAAGCCAAGAATGAGTATCTTCCTTACACCTGGCCAAGAGGCAGAATTGCACACAATAGCAATTCCATAGACGGGCCATCACTTCTCAATTTGCATCTTTCTGCAGAGGTCACCTCACAGTAAGCTTTGGAGGCAGGGATTGTCCTGTTTCCTAGATGTGAAGAGCTAAGAAAAGTCAGGTGCTTTCTGAAGGACAAGCCTCCAGCCAGTGAAGCAATGATAGTCCAGGGCTGTGAGGGCTTTATGAGGTCAAAGAAAAGGGAAATTTTCTGGCTTCCAACATGGTTTTGGGATACATAGATTCCAGGTAAGGGAAGGAGGTGATCAAGGCCCTTGAGGTAGGAATGAACAAGGCGGGTCTGGAATAGCATGGTGGAAGATGAAGAAGGAAGGTTGGGTTTGGGGTCCTGAGTGCTAGACAGTTTACAGCCCACCCCAGGAATAGGAAGGTTTATAGGCTGGAGCAAGACAGAGGAATTGAATGAAACCGTTGCTCTTGGACTTGACACACCACACACCCACAGCCCTACTCTGGACACCCCCGGCCTGCCCTTTCCCCACCACCCACCTGGCCGCTGCTGGCCGACGTGTACTAGTGCGATTCTCCCTCCGCCTCCCTAGGACTCTGCGGGATGGTGGCCATCTCCTGGTACGCTGTCAACATCACCCAAGATTTCTTCAACCCCCTGTACGCTGGAACCAAGTGAGTGAGGAACCCCACCCTTCCTCGGGGACAGCAGGTGGGACTCGGCCCTGTCCCCCGGACTGGCGCGCTCACCTTTTACCTCATCGCCCTTGCGCTCAGGTACGAGCTGGGCCCTGCCCTCTACCTGGGCTGGAGCGCCTCCCTGCTGTCCATCCTGGGTGGCATCTGCCTGTGCTCCAGTTGCTGCTGCGCCTCCAAGGAGGACCCAGCAGGCAGGTGAGGAGGTGGCGAGCGGGGGAGGGGGCAGGGAGCAAGGGCTGTGCCTTTCTGTGATGTGACCTCCCCCCCCCCCCAACAGGGCTGGGTTTCCCTACAAAGCTTCTGCGGTCGTGATGGCCCCCGCCCTCTCGGATGAAGGCGACAGCAGCTTTGGCAAATACGGCAAAAATGCTTATGTGTAGGAGTGCTGGCCTGTGAATCCCATATCCCTTCCTACTGCCCCCAATGGAGAGGGGACCCAGAGACCCACCCTCCCTGTAAGAGCCTCGGGGCAGGCCACGCCCAGGCTCCGCCCTTGCCTCAGGGCCATGCCCCGTTCTGGGCTCGCCTCAGACCTTGCCTCTGCTGGAGCCACGCCCCGGGCACCCTTCCTACCTGGCCCCTCCCAGGTCCAGGATGACTTCTGAGTACTCACCTCGGCCGGTGCTGCTGGACCTGAGGGGATGGAGGCGTCCCCCAGCGTGTGGATTCTCTATAAATACGTGCATAAATAAATGTATACTGTGACTGTTCAGGGGTTGTAGGTGTCAGGAAGTAGCTGTCCAAGCAAGGGGTGGGAGGTGGTGCTGGAAAGTTCAGTTCTCTGTCATGTTACCGTCCACCACCTTTGGACTGTCTCGTCCAACAAAATCGAAGGTGTTACAAGGGATGGTACTTAACTGCTCAGAGTCACTATGGGGCAGAGATGGGAAGCCCAGCTCCAAGGAAACTGGAAATAGCATAGACACCCTTGGCCAGTTGGAGTTAGCAAATCCCTCCTTTGACTCTGTCTCTCACAGCTGCACAAGGGGCCTGGGCAATGGCATCAGGAATGGGTGGCCCCTTTGTTCTGTGACAGATCAGCTGAGTCTGGTGCAGGTACAGTTCCTCTAGGATGGTTCAGCAGCATCCAGAAAAGGCTCTGAAGCTCTGTGAATGTGCTTGGCTCACTGGTGACCAACTCAGAGCCAGTACTGGATGGTGGGCAGGCTTGGCACAGACCCAGAGGTACCCATTTAAGACAGGAAAATGAGGTCACTAGACAGAAGCCTGGCACCCATCAAGAAAGAACGGATTATGTATCCTCTGCAGCCCTGACTGGTGGCCAGTCACCTGGAGTGCCCTTGCCTCTGCCAGCAGCCCCACCTCATCTCTAACGTCATCAACTCCCCTGCAATGACTTTCTTGTCTGCCTCTTCTCACACCCTTCCTTTCAGGAAAACTAACCTGAACCAAGCTCCACAATTGGACACCTAAGTATGTGCCTTAATATGATCACTAAGTGGTTTCCATTTCTATGTCCATCACATGATCACATGGCTATGAAGGGCTATGGGCACATTTACCCCCTTCCACTACACTTACTGACTTTCTTCTTGCTAGAAGCTATGAGGGTGGGCACCAAGACACAGACCCTGCCCTCAAAGAGCCCAACCTAGGAGCAGAGAAGTAAATACAGGTTACTATCCTATGGCCTAGAGGCTGGGGTTGCTTTGTGGAGGGAGCTGGCCATGAAAAAGCCCAACAACAATCTGCTCTGGGTCTTGGGCAATGTGACAACAGTTGTCACTACTAAGCACTCACTGGTTGCCAGGCACTGGGCAAAGTGCAGTCTCACTCAGTCCTTGCCATTATCTGTGAGGTGGCCATACCTCACAGAGAGGCAAAGGACCTATTCACGCTACATGACTGGTACTAAATGAAACCCAAAACTGAAAATGCAACTTCCCTGCTTCCCAGGATTCTTAGTTCTCCTAATTCAATTAAATGCAATGTTCATGGAAGGTCTCTTAATTTTCCAGACCCTGGCACTGACCTCTTCCCATGTTCCCAGGAAAGAGCTGTGTTGCCTCTATCATGACAGTAGGTGTGACTTCTACAAGCTTTTGGCATACAGCGGATCTCCCAAAGACCAGATGAATCCCAACAAGTGGTACAGAGAAATCTGGTAAAAATTGTTCTAGACTTTGTTTGGAGACCTCTGGTTTTAAACAGGGTCCACACTTTCTGGATGACTCACAGAGCCATCAGCCTTGAAGAAAGGGTTGGACACTGAGGTCTGGCTATAGCTTCTCAAGGTAATTTGGGAAGCTGGAATGTATCATTAATGAGAGAAATCTTATACCAAGCAGAATCAACATGACTCTTTCGATGACAATGAAATATAAAGCAAATCTAGTGAAGATAGAGAAATGGCCCAAAAAGGGAACTGGGCTGATACACAATCCTTACATGGGCAATTGGTAATGCAGTCTTTCAGTCCTTGTGACTTCTGTTTTCTGGCTTGAGTATAGTTCCTGGTGGAGGAGGAAAGATGGAGGAAAGGAGAGAAAGATTTGGATTTTCCTTTCGTGGGAGGGCCAATGAGCCCAGGCAGGTGCTGCAGCAAGCAATAATTCCTGGGTCCCTGTTACTCTTGCTGCTGACAAGGCAGTCCAAGACTCAACAGCATAAGCCAATGATTTGCATATGCACACAGGTCTTTCAGCTCAGGAATTCAGACAGACACAGTAAAATGGCTTATCTCTACTCCAAGATGGGAGGTCACAGTTGGGAAGCCAAACAGCCGAAGGTGACTTGATGCTGGGGCATAATCACCTGGAGGCATTTCCACCCTGAGGACTTGAAGGCTTGGTCCCTCCAGGCCTGTCAACAAGGGTCCCTGCACGTGGCCTCTCTGGATATCCTGGACTTCTCATAGCACAGTGGCTTCAAGAAAGCTACATTTCCTCCATGGTTCCTCAGGGATCCAAAAGCAGGTGTCTCAGTCACAAGGCAGGAACCTTGATGACTAAGCCTTGGGTGTCACATTTTCTCACTTCTTTCATTCTCTGCTGTTGAAACCATCATAGGCCTACCCAGATTTTAGGGGAAAGGACAAATACCCCCCTCCACCACACACCTTTCCATGGAAGGTTTTTGTTTTGTTTTGGTTTTGGTTTTTTTGATATAGGGAATCACTAAGAAGCCCAGGCTGGCCTCAAACTCACAATCCTCCTGCCTCAGCCTCCCAAGTGCTGGGATTACAGGAGTGTACCACCATGCTCCTCTTTAAAGTCATTTTTTAACCACCACACTTGGATTATCTCTAAACCCTGTGGTCACCTTCATATAATAGGAAGCTTTCACCAACACCACTTGCCCCTCTGCAAGTCTTCAAAGAAAAGGAAAGCAAGTCCCCAGGAAAATACTGTCCCCCAAGTAGGGGAAAGAGCCTAAGAAGACACTAGCATTGAACTCTGCTGGATCTCATTAACAGTTTATTAAGGCCATTTATTCAACAAACACTTACAAAGCTCCTGCTCTGCTATGTGCTTAACAGGGTGACTTCAAGGAGCTATGATTCCAGCTTGCAATCCACTTAAGACAAGATGTAGGTGAAAAGGTCTAAAACTACAAGTCACAGCATCCAGGGCCACCAGGGACAGAAGCCTCTACATCAGGAATCCCCTCTGCTTCCCAGGAATTCTTGGGGTTCTGTGCTGCTAATCATTTCACATGCTGCCTCCCTGGACAACAGGGGCTTCCCAAGCACAGCTGCTCCCACAGACTAGTGCAGCCAGGGACAAGGGCCCACCTGACCATCCTATTTGGTTAAGTACTAGATGACAGATAGGATGGCACCCATTCCCTAGACCTCACCCTATTTCCAGTCACCCAGCTCTGGAAAATACTCAGAGGAAGTAGATTAATTTTAAAAAAAATAAAGGAAAAACCTAACTAGATTAATAAACAAGACAAGAAGTAAAGAAACAGCCAAGAAGCCAGGAGTGGTAGTGATCTGCAGTTGCAGCACTTGGGAAACAGAACTAGGCTGGGTTATACAGTAAGACCCTCTTCTCAAAAAAAAGCAGCAGCCAAGAAAGGAAAAGGTAAGACATGGGTGGGAGTGGCAGGAGAATGGGACAAAATCTCAGGGACACAGAGGAACAGACAATAGAAGACAGAGTAAGAGAGACAGAGCAGTAAGCAGAAACAACAGGAGATCTGGGACCCTCACTCCAAACACCCCATGACCCCATGAGGCAGGTTCCTCACACTAGGCTTTTATTACCATGCACACTGCAGCTGGGCCCACCCCGCCAGTCCCTGGATAAGGTTTTCTCTGGCCTTCCCTGGCAGGTAAGTTGTAGCTTTGCTGGGTAAATGAACAGCTCCTCTCTCGATATTCTGGTGATGTACAGAGGCCCTTCCTCTCTGGGAACGCCAGGTTCATACAGTCCACTTCAGACACCTGCAGACAGAGGAAGGCCAGGAGGAGAAAGCGGTCTCAGAATGCCAGGGGGAACAAAACAGGAGTGTGAACAGGTTGAGGCCTGTGTGTCTGGGCTCACCTGGTCTCCTGATGGGTGCCAAGACAGCGCACAGTACAGTACCGGGCACCACAGCTGACACAGGTGTATGGGGATGGGAAGCCACACACAGCACAGAAGGGACGCTGGGGCCGGGATGGGGGCCCTGCACAGGCTGTCAGGTAGTTGGGGCCCTCTGCCATGCTCAGGTTCTGCAGAGGCAAGTGAGGCAGGATTCATGACCAACCTGCCCACCCACGTAGCCAACACCTGCCAACACCTGGGATCTTCCCAAGTTCACACCTTCCCAAGGGTCCCCCATCACCAGTTCCTCTCACCTGCTCCTCCAATAAGGCCTGGAAGTTTTTCCGGAAGCGAAGTTTAAAATGATCACCCCGAGTTTTCTTCTTTTTCTTCCCTAGGGGTCAAGAGCAATGATGTACTTGACACTTGCCACCTTTCTCTGGCTCATCACACAGGAGACCTTCAGGTCCAGCTTCTACCCACATCTCACCTGGGGACTGAATCTGCTCTTGCCTGCCATACCATGTCACCAAAGCACAAAGGGAGGAGCTGCTCGCTTACTCAACAAAGCCAGAGAAGACCTTCCCCAGGGACTGGCTAGCAGGTAGGCCCACCCTGCAGAGTGTGCGGTAATAAAAGGTCTAGTGCGAGGATTATGTCTGCTTGGTCATAGGGTGTTTGGGGTGAGGGTCACGGGCCAGCTGTTACTCCTGCTTACTGCTCTCTTTTCTGGCTGACCAATCATCCTTTCCATTGTTTGTCCCTCTGTGTCTCTGACCACTTCTAGGATCCTGGCCCAGTGTCATCCCCCAATCTACACACCCCCAATCTATAGCGTTATGTCAACCTTTCTACTCTAACCTCTTTATTCCACTCACATAGGGAAACAGAGACACAGAAAGGAGAGGGTGGGTGTTCATGCTCACAGGAGCTAGTCACTGGTGGAGCCAGAAGGAACTCTTAGGATGTCTGCCTCCTGGTCCAATGGCCCTCCACAATCCTGACCACCTTCCTCAGTCTTGTTTCCCAAGACCTGTCTTTCCCTTTCTCCAACCCCAGCCCGTCTCACCTGTGTCTGTATCATCATCAAACTGGGGCAGCCTCTTGCCGAGCTGGGGAAGGCCTGCATGGGGGTCATCCTGGAAGTTGTCATTCTCCAAGGCCTCAAGCTGCCTATTGATGCGCCGCTGCCTGGCAGCCCGGTCCAGCACCCGCCGCTGTCCAGGGTCCTGGGAGCGAACTAGATGGGCAGGACAAGAAGAGTCATGGGGGTATGGAGAAGAGGGACACTAGGGTGGCCTTGGCTCTGGGCAGTGCATGGAAGATGGCCAGAGGGTACAGAGCCATGGTCCTTTGATCTCATCCCAATCACTACACTATGCACTCCTCCCACTGTGTCAGCCCTCCAGTCTTGCTTCCTTCCTGCTAGCTAAGACTATGTCAGCCCCTCGCGCTATTTTCTAGCCCTCTGAACCCTTCCTGAAAGCCCCTCACTGCTGTGGAAAACACAGCCATGCTGACCATGTAGGCCACTGTGCACTCAAGCTCTCAGTCTCCACTGGAACCTTCATGTACTCAGCAATCCTGCTCAACAATCTCATTTCCTATCTCCGAGGAAATGGATCACCTACAGGTAGGCACACTCACTTTCAGTCTCACATGCATCCCAGTGGATGCACTGGCATGCACCCCAGGCCTGCTGCTGAATCCAGCCCTTTACCTCCAACTAGAGTCCATCCTTCTTTCTACCAGCTATGGTTCTTAGAGAGCGATCTGCCATGTCTCACCACCTTGTCTCCCATCCTCCACGCTCCCAATCTGAGTCCCACTGACCATTCAAAAAGAACTGCCCACACTTGGGACACCAGTGAGCTCCTAAGGCCAAGTCTAGTGTGCATCTCTAGAATATTCCCTCATCTTGAGCTCTCTATGCCCTCTGGCCATGGTGACCACCATCCTTTGGGTAAAAGAGTCCCTCTGTCTGCTTCCTTGGCATGACTCCAGCTTTCCTTCTCTCTCTCTCTCTCTCCCTTCTTCCCTCTCTCTCTGGCTACGCCTCTAGTCCCCCACCACCTCAGCTGCCCCCCAGTCTCTGGGAATCTCTGTCTGTCCTTCTTCTTAGTCTATATCCTTTTCCTAGAATTTCTAATATAAACACAGACCTCTATCACCCACAAGCAAATCATTCCAAACTTGATTTTCCCAGCCCAGAACCTTCTTCTGAGGTACAGAACTAGCTACACCACTGGCTGTAGGATGTCACTGCTGACCCTGTTGACACTGCAACTCAAACGAAACCCTTCCTACCCAGGCCTGCTTCTCCCTTGTATACTCCTAGTGAACAGCACCATATACAGACATTCAAACCAGAAACCAAGCAGATATGTTAAACCTCTTTCTTCATTGCTATCGCAGCTGTTTACCAGGTTCTTGAAATTCTACACAAATATCACTTTGTTCATTAGACAAATACTTATTGAGTGCCTGTTATTAACCATATTAATAATGGCAACAGCACCAGTAGCTGCCACTTACTATGAGCCAGATGCTATTCAGTAGGCCCTCTGCATCCATGGGTTCTGCTTCTATGGATTTATCCAGCCCCCAGACTGAAAATATTTTTAAAAACTTGCATCTCTATTGAACACGTTCAGACATTTTGTTATTACTATTCCCTAAGTAATACAGCACTTAAATCATATTAGGCATTATAAGTAATCTGGAGATTTAAAGTATACAGAAGGTAGCTTGGCATGGGTGATGACTATCATTCCAGTTATTTGGGAGGTGGAGATCAGGAGGATAGCAGTTTGAAGCCAGCCTGGGCAAAAAGCTCACGAGACCCCATTCCAACCAATATATAAGCACAGTGGCACATGCTTATCACCGAACCGCAGTCCAGCTGGTGAGGCAAAACGCAAGACCCTATCTCAAGAAGGACTGGTGCAACTCAAATTACAGTAGCGTGCCTACCTAGCAAGCACAAGACCCCAAGTTCAACCCCTAGTACCAGAAATAAAGTACTGGCTGAAGCCTAGGATAAAAACAAGTCAGATTCTTTTTTTCTTTACTTTTTTTTTTTTTTTTGGCAGTACTGGGGCTTGAACTCAGGACCTATACCTTGAGCCACTCCACCAGCCCTGTTTTTTTTTTTTGTGAAGGGTTTTTTCGAGATAGGGTCTTGCAAACTATTTGCCCAGGCTCATTTTGAAACATGATCCTCCTGATCTCTGCCTCCTGAGTAGCTGGGATTACAGGAGTGAGCCACCAGCACCTAGGAGCAGGTCAGATTCTTAAGTATTCTACCTTTAAGTATTTAAAGGAAATTGGATTTGGGATTTTATGGCAAGAGCTATGAGAGCCATTAGGGTTTTTTATTTGTTTGCTGTACTGGGGTTTGAATTCAGGGCCTCAAGCTTCCTAAGCAGGTGCTCTTACTGCTTGAGTCACTCCATCAGCCCTTTTTTATGTTGGATGTTTTCAAAATAGGATCTCTCAAATAATTTGCTCAAGCTGGTTTTGAACTGTGTTCCTCCTGCTCTCTGCCTCCTGAGTAGCTAGGATTACATACATGAGCCACTGGGCACCTGGAAGCCATTAGGGTTTTTAAGAAAGGAGTGACTCTTACCTTTTTCTCTGAACTACTCAGTATTTTCATAACTGGACTTTCAGCCCTTCACCTGCTCCTTACAATACAGTCCTAGTCATGTGTTCATTTATATTTAAACTGAGACTGAGATTCAATGAAATTATAAATTCAGTTCCTCAATTGCTCTAGCTACATTTGAAGTACTCAACAGCCACATATGCCTAACACTGGCACACTGCACAGCACAGGCTAAGAACCCGTGCTTCGCCCCAGCTAGTTCTACAGGACAGCACTGTGCTATGACAGCCTTTCTAAAAGATGAATCTGCTTCTGCCACTCTCCTGCCTTAAAAACCTTTGATGGTGGGGAAGGGACGTGGCTCAAGTGGTGGAACCCCCGGGTTCCAACCAAAGTACCACAAAAAAAAAAAAACCAAAACCAAAAAAAAAAACAGGTCGGAATAGTGATGCACGTCTGTAACCCATCACTCAGGAGGCTACTGATGGAGGATCACCAGTTCGATAGGAGGATCACACAGCCAAGACCCTATCTCCAATTCTTTTTTAATTTAAAAAAGCCATTGATGGCTCTCCACTGCCCCTCCAAAGAGTTCAAACTCCGCAGCGTAACCTTTTCCCAGCCCACCGGCCTCTCTTACTGTTTCTCTGCAAGTTCCAAACTATGAACTTGGACTTCCTTAAGAGACTTGCTTTTCCTTACTTTCCTGCATTTGCTCGTGCAGTTCCTGCTACAGAGAAGGAATTCCCCCGCACTTCCATTGAGCCAAAACCGTATCTCGACTTTCAAGACTCAATTTAAGCATTTTTGTTTTCAACTTTTCTTCCAAGCCTTCCCGGTCCCCTCTTTCTCAGGACCTGGGTGTCACTGCTCACTGCGCCCAGGCACTGTGTCGCATTCTGCCTTGAAATGCACGGGTAGGTCTGTGCGTCTGTCTCCCTGCCAGAAAGCCATTTCTGGGGTAACAAGGATTTTTGTCTCCACTCCATCCCCAGCGGCCGGCTTGGAGCTGGCATCAATAAACCATGAATGAATGGTTCCGGTGCTGCTCCAATGCTAAGATCACTGGGCCGATGAAAGGACTTGAGAAATCCTAGGCGGAAAGGGGAAGACCCGCTGAGGGTTCACATACCCGAAGTTTTCTTCTCCACCATTTGCGATATACAGCTGCCGGAAGAATCAACTGCGCATGCGGACTAAACTATCGCCTGTGGTACACACCATCACTTCCGGTGATTTTGTGCGCATGCGCAGAATACTCCACGCTTAAGTCATTATGTGGAGTTCCCTTGGAGACAAAAAAAAGCTTTCCGCCATGTTTTATAGGGGCAAACCTACTTTCGGCCTCGCTGTGGTTGTGCAAATTTTAAGAGCCCCCGAAACGGATCATTATAAAGAAGTGGTGACGGTGGCCTTTCGAAAAATGTTATTTTCCTTGGGTCCTTCTAAAAGTGCTATTATAACACGGGCAGCCCCTGGAAGTTCTCCCTGGAGCAGAAGGGGGTAGGCCGTACTGCAGAAGAAAGTGGGCTGGCTTGAGTGGGCAAATCGCGAGGTCCCTGGTGGTCCTCTCTGCAGACTAAAGCTCAACCTATAGTTCCCCTGGGTCGCAGTCCTTCCGCGGGGGCCTCCTCGGCTTCTCCCTCCCTGCCGATCCCACTCTGCGCACCCCCATCGCCTCGCTTCGTTGTCATCAGCCCGGCCTCTGCGGACCAGGAATGTGGCCAGGATCCGCCCCTGCGTCCCGCCGGACCCTCCGCGAGGGGTCACTTCCCGTCTCCAGGTTTTGATTTCCTCATGTGTGAAGCACACGTGAGCCCGGCAGGCTCGGACACATCCGTCAACTCCTCCTCTGCCCCGGGCCCGTGCGCCCACTCTGCGCTCTGAGCGCAGCCCGCGCGCCCGCGCCCGCGCCCGCGCCCCGGGACAATCCTTGCCTTGTCTCGCCGCCTGCATCTCCAGTTTTCTGCAGCCTCAGGTTACGCCTTTTTTCCAGGGCGGAACCCCAACCCAGCTCCTCCTCTCAGTGGGCCGCTCAGCAGCTCGGGTTCCTCCTTTCCTAGAACCTTCTCCCGAACTGGAATTGAGGCGCGCTGCTAAGCCCGGTGCAGGCCTGTGTGCTGCCCCGCTCCCCGCCATGGCCCTGTCGGGCCTGAAACCCTGTCTCCTGCTGCTGCTACAGCTGCTGCTGCCGCCTCCTGTGTCCTCTGCCTCCGACAAGCCCCGAGGCAGCAACCCTGTTAACCCAGGTGAGAACACCGGTGGGCCGAGTGGGTGCGGGGCTGACGTATCTGCCAGCCTGGCTGGAGAGGGGTCCGAGACTCCAGGGGAAGTCCGGCCTCTCCCCGGCCCAGCGGGCTCTTGGGACCCAATCACAGTGACGTCTTTACCCATTCGACACCCTGAATTGAGCTTTCCAGCCTACCCAAGCGTATGGACCCCAAATTCCTGGATGTCACTCCCACCAGGGTCTCTCACTTGGGGGTAGAGATGTCCCTGGGCAGGAAAAGCTTAAAAGGGACCTGGAAACCAGAAGAAAAGGACAGTAGTGAAATAAGGGGAGTGGAAGGGGTGGAGGTAAAAGGGGAGAGCCAAGCACGTGGGGCACGATGCAGCAGTTGGGTAGTTCTCAAGTGTCTATTCCTGACTGGTGACAGAGAAATTGTTGTTGATCACTGTGGCCACCTCAGAGACAGAGGGATACCAGCGTTTCTTGCAGTCTGCAGAGTATTTCAACTACACTGTCCGCGTGAGTGGGGACCCCCAGGGAGGGGTTCCAGCAGGAGTGGGCTGGAGGCTATGTGTGCCTGGGTACCCCCAGTGAGCCTGGTCACGCTCCCCACACTTTGGCAACCTGAACCCCTCCCTGGAATAATGGGTCTTCTTCACAGACCCTGGGCCTGGGACATGAGTGGCGAGGGGGTGATGTGGCTCGAACAGTTGGTGGAGGCCAGAAAGTCAGGTGGCTAAGGAAGGAAATGGAGAAATATGCAGACCGGGAGGACATGGTCATCATGTTTGTGGACAGGTAAAAGGGCTGGGGTTGGGAGAAAGGAGAGGGAGAACATGAGGAAGGAGAAGGATGCTGACATTCCTAGTGGTCTCCTGCTCATCCTCCTCTTCTCGCTCAGCTATGATGTGATTCTGGCTGGCAGCCCCTCCGAGCTACTGAAGAAGTTCGTCCAGAGTGGCAGCCGCCTGCTCTTCTCTGCAGAGGGCTTCTGCTGGCCTGACTGGGGACTAGCAGAGCAGTACCCTGAGGTGGGCACGGGGAAGCGCTTCCTCAACTCTGGTGGTGAGTGGCAGAGTGCCTGAGACAGAGGGGCCCAAAGTGGTGGGGCATGGAGCGTTCCAGGCATCTGAGGGCTGGAGAGGGAGTTGGGATAGGTCTGTGGGATCCTGGGAGTCTTGGGACCAACCCCTCTCCCACCCCACCAGGATTCATCGGCTTTGCCCCCACCATCCACCAAATTGTCCGCCAGTGGAAGTACAAGGATGACGATGATGATCAACTGTTCTACACGAGACTCTACCTAGACCCAGGGCTAAGGGTAGGAAGGGGCAGGAGATGGGGGCACCCTGTGGGCCTGTGGGGTGGGAGGCCTGGGACTAGATGAGAGAGAAGTTATTAAGGATTTGGAGAATATGTAAAGAGAAAAGTGAAGCCAGGTCCCAGTGGATCATGCCTGTAATCCTAGCTACTTGGGAGACAGAGATCAGGGATTTCGATTCAAAGCCAGCCCCGGGCAAATAGTTCATGAGACCTTATCTTGAAAAAACCCATCACAAAAAAGGGCTGATGGAGTGGCTCAAGCAGTAAGAACACCTGCCTAGCAAGCGTGAGGCCCTGAGTTCAAACCCCAGTGCCACGAACAAAAAAAAAAAAAAAAAAAGGAGAAAGAAAAGTGAGAAGTGGTGTCTCCCTACCTCTCTTCAGTTAACTGCCCCATCTCATCCCATCCAGGAAAAACTCAGCCTTAATCTGGATCATAAATCTTGGATCTTCCAGAACCTCAATGGGGCTTTAGGTGAGGAGGAAGGCAGTTGGAGGTGGGTAGTGAGGGGTCCCTGATGCTGGGGGGCAGGTCACAGACTAGGAGGAGCTCCTGGTGGAACCAAGCTGATCATGCAGTAATGGAAAAACATCTATTGGGCACGTGCCTTGTGCTTTAGCACAAAGATTCTATGGGGGTAGAGTCCCTGGCTATTCACCTCAGACAGATCCTTGGGCAGGAGAGGCCACTAGTGAGCACTGGGGCTCCAGGGTGGCAGCAACAGTCTGAACCCACAGAAGAGCAAAGGTTCCCACCCCAACTGAATGCGCACCACTTTATCCCCTAGAGAAATCAGGACCCCACATACAGACACTTAGAAGACCCTATTGCTTGGCAGATCCCAGGAAAAGGAGTCTAAAACCTGTCCTTTCTCCCTCAGATGAGGTGGTCTTAAAGTTTGATCAGAATCGTGTGCGAATCCGGAATGTGGCCTATGATACACTCCCTGTTGTGGTCCATGGAAACGGTCCCACTAAGGTATCCCCCCAGCCTTTGCCCCTTCTTGATCCAAACCCTAGGTACCCCCAACCATTCCCAGTAGGCAGTCCTCCCCAGCCCCAGCAACATAGGTGCCAGTCCAGCTTCCTCCTCACGCTGCTGCCCCTCAAGTCTGCCCCTGCTCACTCAGCTATTTGCTCTCTCTCCTGATAGCTCCAGCTGAACTACCTGGGCAACTATGTTCCCAATGGCTGGACTCCCCAGGGAGGCTGTGGGTTTTGTGACCGGGACCGGAGGATACTCCCGGGGGGGCAGGTGAGTAAGGGTGTGGGCAGGTTGGGGCGGGTGGGGACAGAGGGTCCGGGGAGCCTATACTGGCAAGGTGGGCAGCAGCTAGTGAAGGTTATGGGGCCCAGGTAGGCCTAGACTCCCTCTGAGCTGTGTCTGTTGGATCCTCTAGCCTCCCCCCCGGGTGCTTCTAGCCGTGTTTGTGGAACAGCCCACCCCGTTCCTGCCTCGTTTCCTTCAGCGACTACTGCTCCTGGACTACCCCCCTGACAGAGTTGCCCTCTTCCTGCACAACAGTGTGAGTCACACTACAGCCTCCCCTGGGCTCCCCAGAGACCCTGTCCTGTTCCTCACACTTGCCCTGTACTCCCATGCTTATCCCCACGGCCTTTACCTTCCTGTCCCATCCCCCCCATCTTGGGTGCTACTTCACCTCCTTCTCAGTCCAGTCCCCTTCGAATCTCCCAGGAAGTGTACCATGAGCCACACATCGCTGACGCCTGGCCACAGCTCCAGGACCACTTCTCAACTGTGAAGCTGGTGGGACCAGAGGAGGCTCTGGGCTCGGGCGAAGCCAGGGACATGGCCATGTGAGCAAGCACTAGGAGGGGAGGAGTGTGGGCTGCCATCTGTCACCAGCTTTACCCCCTGGGCCCCCACACTTACCAACACCTTCCCTTGTTACCTGGGGCTGGGAGAGTCCAACCCATCCCACTGTCCCTTCCCCCCCTGCCCCCATTTTGACTCATCTGCCTGTCTATGGGTCTGTCATCTCCAGGGATAGTTGCCGGCAAGACCCCGAGTGTGAATTTTACTTCAGCCTGGACGCCGACGCCATCCTCACCAACCTGCAGACTCTGCGCATCCTTATTGAACAGAACAGGTCACTGCGCCCCCCTTCTCTACTAAACCCCCCAGGAGTGCCCAGGAGCCCCACCCCTTCCCTGGGTACATCCTTGTCCCCTTCCCACTGGCTCTAACCCCCACCTTGTCCACAGGAAGGTGATTGCCCCCATGCTGTCCCGTCATGGCAAGCTGTGGTCCAACTTCTGGGGGGCCCTAAGCCCGGATGAGTACTACGCCCGCTCCGAGGACTATGTCGAGCTGGTGCAGCGGAAGCGAGTGTGAGTCTTGCCTGGGCTGCTGCCCTTCCTTATACCTCAAAGGCACCAGACCTGCTGGGCTCACACCTGTAACCCTAGCTACTCAGGAGGCAGAGATCAGGAGGATTGGGGCTCGAAGTCAGCCCAGGCAAAAAGTTCTTGAGACCTTATCTCGAAAAAACCCACCACAAAAAGGGGCTGGTAGAGTGGCTCAAGGTGTAGGCCCTGAGTTCAAACCCCATACCGCAAAAAAAAAGGGCATCAGACCTCCCCCAGCCCCCCAATCAGGTCTAGTACGGCCACCAGACATGCCATGGCGTGGTGGTGGAGCAGGCTGTTTATCAGGTGGTTAAGATCAGCAGTGCTTGGCAGAGAACATGAGGGCCCTTTAAGCTCTTGGACTAGGTGTCCTGAGGAAAGGAACTGAAATGAAAAAACTGGGCAGAACATGGGGGGCTGCCAACCTTGCTGACCCTAGCAACGGTGTCCACAGGGGTGTGTGGAATGTGCCCTACATATCCCAGGCATATGTGATCCGTGGAGCAACCCTGAGGACAGAACTGCCCCAGAAAGAGGTGTTCTCAGGAAGTGACACTGACCCAGACATGGCCTTCTGTAGGAGCTTGCGGGACCGGGTGAGTGGTGGGCTAGCCTGGGGTGTGGGGCCAGGGGGCCTGATGCTGGGATATTGGGGGATAACCATGTCAAGTCATCTCTATCCTTCTCACACACCCGTCCACCCCACACACCAGGGTATCTTCCTCCACCTCAGCAATCAGCACGAGTTTGGCCGGCTTCTGGCTACTTCCCGCTATGATACAGACCACCTGTACCCCGACCTCTGGCAGATCTTCGACAACCCTGTTGTGAGTGGGGGGGGCCTTTGCTCAGACAACGCATGCTTCTGTGCCCTTTGCTAAGTCTAAGGAGAATGGCAGTGCATAAAGGATGCCCCCAAGCAGGGTTCCCCTCTGCATGGTCCCCCATTGCCCAGCAAGAGGTGACATAAGGGCAGGAGTGAAGATGGCTCCACTCAGATACTCCAACCCTCCCCGCAGGACTGGAAGGAGCAGTACATTCATGAGAACTACAGCCGGGCGCTAGATGGAGAGGGGCTGGTAGAACAGGTAAGCCTCTCAGGACCCTGACCCACCTGAAGGCCAATGCCTCTTGGACCCACTGCTGGGATTTGTGGTTTTTGAACTGAGCTCCCAGGGACCTTTTTGCTCAGGCAAGAAGGAAGCAAAGACTGCAGATGGGGCTCCAACTGCCAACTCGGGCATTAATAGGTGACTCCTCTCTGTCTGCTAAGTATACAGGTGCTCCTTCACTTAGGATAAACCCATTGTAAAATCCCAAGTACTAAGTTGAGGACTGTATTGGTATTATGGTTGAAATGATATCTTTAAAGAGGATTGTGATGTTCGAAAGGAGTTTGAAAACCACTGTCTCAGATACTGGGGCTCCAGGCCTCTCCTGCCACTTGTGCCACACTGGACAGACAGCTTCATGCCCTGTTCCCAAACACTCTCTGCTGCCTCTCCCACAGCCCTGGGCCTGGCTTGTTCCCCATCTCTGCTCATCTTTCAGCAACTCCTCTCCTCTCTAGCTCTCCTCCCACCCTCCTGCTTTTTCTCCCCTCTGTTTGCTGCCTATCTCCTTTCCCTCTTCTGCAAGCATCACCCAGCTCTGGTCCTCCTCCCCTGCCCATTCCCAGCCATGCCCGGATGTGTACTGGTTCCCACTGCTGTCAGAGCAAATGTGTGACGAGCTGGTGGAAGAAATGGAGAGCTATGGCCAGTGGTCAGGAGGCCGGCATGAGGTAAGGGTGGGGCAAGAGGGAGGAGGGCTTGCAGGAGGAGGCACACTGGTTCTGATGGAGCGACAGTGGAATCAGGAGAGTGGGAGTCGGGAGGGGGATCCAAATGGAGGGGTTACAACTGCATTCATTCATTCATTCAAGTGGGGATAGCTTATTGTAGTGGAAAAACGTGCAAATCAGAGCCAAACAGGAACCCTTGGCTCAATGTGGGAGGACCAGGGGACTTCACAGGAGAGGTGACATCTTAGCTAAGACTTTAAGGCCCAACAGCAGTGAGTAAGGCTGAGGAGTGGAAGAGAAGACTGTTTCAGATGGAGGAAACACAGCCTGGAAGCAACAGGAATTCAGTGACCCAGGTATGTAGGTGGCTTAGTATCCATTGTCCACAGGACTCACGGTTGGCCGGTGGCTATGAGAACGTGCCCACTGTGGACATCCACATGAAGCAGGTGGGCTATGAGGACCAGTGGCTGCAGCTGCTGAGGACCTATGTGGGGCCTATGACCGAGAGCCTGTTCCCTGGCTACCACACTAAGGTGAGTTCTACAACCCACCACTGCTATGTCCCACTTCCCTCTGCCCCAGGCCAGGCCAGAAGTCTCCATGTGGAGCCTCTCGGCCCCTGTAGCAATTGGGGCTCTTTGAATCAGGGTTTAGATTCTAGACACTGTAAAAAGGAATTAACCAGGTGAGCCCCACAGCTGGCTCTAATACAGTTAGCAAAGAGGTCCTTCTGTGGCCCCGTTTAGACAGGGGCTGCGATCTGGTTAGAAGGAGTCCCCCTCCTGCCAGCCCTCTCAGCCCTCCCTGCAGCTTCTCTCCTGCGTCCCTACAGACTCGGGCAGTAATGAACTTTGTGGTCCGCTACCGGCCAGATGAACAGCCCTCCCTGCGGCCACATCACGATTCATCCACCTTCACTCTCAACGTTGCCCTCAACCACAAGGGCCTGGATTATGAGGTGAGGCCTCAGCCCTTCCCGCTTCAGGGTACTGCCAGTCCCTACACACATTCACCTTGTATCTTTGTCCCTCAGCTGCCTTCCTAGCCTTTGGCTAGGCCTTTTTGCACTTCCCAGTTATGAGTATTGTCTCTTGGGTCCCTTCTAGGGCACCTGCTCCCTCTTCCTCTTGTCCCCCTCACCTGGCAGCCCCTTGAACCTGCCTGACCCCCGTCCCTGTGTCTGCTCACCCTCCTTTCCTGCTCCCTTCTCCTCTCTCCAGGGAGGTGGCTGCCGATTCCTGCGCTACGACTGTGTGGTTTCATCACCGAGGAAGGGCTGGGGGCTCCTGCACCCCGGTCGCCTCACCCACTACCACGAGGGGCTGCCTACAACTCGGGGCACTCGCTATATCATGGTGTCCTTTGTCGACCCCTGAAACTCAACCACTCTGCCAAACATTCCCTGCCAATTGTGCCTTCTTGGGGCGCCCGGCCCCCCATCCTTGGAGAAGGGGCTCTGTCCCATCTCCTGCTTCTTGACTGTATGTCCTATGTGCCGGGGACTGAAAGTGTTGCCTCACCTCCACCCACAGCCCACTCAGGAAGCTCCTGGAATCCCTGCCATCCCTGCAGCCCCCAAGGATTCATGGGTAACAGGCTTCTGGGGGTTCCCAACATGATAAGTTATTAAGGTTTCTCAGCCTCCCTCTCAGTAAAGGAGGGTTTGTAACTCAGGAGTCTCTGTATCATCTCTCACTTCCCTGTTGACCCCAGCCCACCTTCTGCCACCCAGAGTAGAGGGGAAACTGATACGCTTCAGAAAGGAAGAGAGAGGAAGCAGAGTGTTAGGGTTGTGGGGACCTGGCAGCTTCCCCAGGTGCCACTTCTCACCCCTCGAGCTTCTCTCTTGTTTGAGCTGGGAACGTGTGAAACGGCAAGGAAGAAATCAGGCTTATTCCTGACCCTCTGCTCTCTTGGGGCAAAGCTGCAGGGACAGTGCTAGGGAAGGAAGTCCCAGTGAGGAATGCCAGTGGAGCTTGCCTGTGGCAACTTGAACAAAAGTTTTAGTCAGGCAGGATCGGGAGTGGGGAATCTCTGGAGGGTGATCCCCTGGAAGTTTTCTGCAACAGGAGTGTGGAGAAGCAGGAGAGAGGCCTCCCAAAAGCAGGACTTACTTCGAACCTCTAAGGTACTATGTAACCCTGAGACTCCTTGAGGCACCCTGGGAAGAGCAGGTCATACTGCTTTAGCTTAATCTTGCCAGCCTTGAGCTAAATTTTGAATTTATCTTTCAACTGTTCCCTTTGGCCTTTTAAAAATTTAAGTCAGAGGGCCTAAGTACGGGATTCATGCATTGAATCCCAGTACTTAGGAAGCTGAGGCAGAAGGATGGTTAGTTTGAGCCTGAGTTAAATGATGAGACCCTGTCTCAAAAAATAAAAATTTAATGGCTGGGCACAGTGGCTCAAGACTGTAACATTAGGTACTTGGAGGATTGTGGTTTGAGGCCAGCCTGGGCAAAAAGTTCAAGAGATGCCATCTCAACCAAGGGCTGGACATTAGGATGTGCAGCTATCATCCCACCTACTCAGGAAACAAACAGGATCATGGTCCAGGCTGGCCAGGGTGTAAAGGGATACCTGTCTCAAAAATAACCAAAGCATGGGCTGGCGGAGTGGCTCAAGTGCCTGCCTAACAAGTGTGAAGCCCTGATTTCAAACCCTAGTGTCACCAAAAACAAATAGCCAAAGCAAAAAGGACTGACAATGTGGCCATGTGGTAGAGCACCTGCCTAGCAAGCATGAGGCCCTGACTTCAAAAAAAAGGTTGAGCAGGCAACCTGGTGTGGTGGCATGCACCTGTGGTCTCAGCCACTTGGGAGGCTTGAACCAAGAAGTTCAAGTCCAGCTTGGGCAACATAGACCCCCATCTCAAAAAAAAAGTTAGGAATTAAAGAGGTTTATTCACCTATCCTAGAATAACTCCCCACTCACAGCTAGAATTCCCTTCCGCCATCTCCCTGCCCAGTCTCCTTCCTGGTAACATGGCTCACCACCTTTCCAGGTTAGCTGAGCGCTTTTGGCCAGTAGTGCTGGACAGCAAACCCAGGGCTTTTATATGCTCGGCAAGTGCTCTACCACTGAGATACACCCCTAGCCTAGACCAGACTTTTAAATCCCTTTCACCCTGGCTGCCACCACTCTTATCCCATGTTCTGTGGACAGAAGTGGTCTGAACAGGGACAAGAGAAACCACCTCTTAGCAAGGTCCTCAGGTGGGGAAGAGCCTGCACGAGAGTGACACAGGGGACAGAAAGGATGTGTCTAGCTGCATTGTAGGGCCTGGGCAGTAGAACTTGACTTTGCCTGTCTGCTCCAGCCCCACTTGCATCAATCATCTGTACACTGGGCACTGTGCAAGTCATTATGGCTGCCCTAATGGGCACAATCACTGTCTTCTTATTGCTTACAGCCTGGTGGAGATGACCTGAATCAGAGAGTCACCAGGTGTGAGCCACCAACACCTGGCTGGCAAAATATTTTAAGCTGCCTGGGCATGGAACAGAGGCACCTATGTGGGGAGTGGCAGAGTCAGACTTCCTAAAAGAGTGACATTCCCTCACAATACTCCCACAGGCCTCTTGGCAGTACTGGGAAGGCCCTAGTGATGGTGAGGACAGATGAGGGTGTGTCTCAACTCCGAGGGTCCTAAAGCCCTCCTCTCTGAAGCATCCCTCTTCCCTTCCCCCAGGCCTAAGCTGCTTCTTAGAGAAGAGACCCTTCTGAAGGTTCTGGACCTCAGAGACCTGGCTCTAGTGACTAAAGGGTTTTTAAGCAGCTCTCCCTAATGTAGGGAGCCCTGTCCCACATGGTACATCTCAGACCTCCACCAACCTAGCTGCTAACAGAGGCCTGAGGCCCCAAACCGCCACCAAGTTCAAACACCTCCCCGTGGCTCCTGGCCACACCCCTGATCATTTCTACTTGGTCCTATTGGTCACAGCCCTGTAAGCTTGGGAGTGATTATCCTGCCTTGCCCAGGTCATGAGGCTCAGTGTGCAGGTCAGCAAAGAGGCAGAACTGGAGGTAGGAACAGGACCAGGGCTCAAGGTCAGTGGTTAGGGCCAAAAAAGGGGTGGAGTGCCTAAGCTGTGGGTTGCCCCTATACAATTCACCTTTATAGTATGGAGGCCTCCTCAGGCCTTCTCCAAAGGATACTCCAAGTGTTTGCTGTCCTGCAGTGGATCTTCATCCTGGCTCTTGGTGAGTTCCCAAAGCCTGGAGACCTAGGCAAACCTAGTACTGGTGCCCTCCTTCCCCATTACCTGGAAAAAAGCTGTGTAGGGATCTCCAGGTCCTGAAGGAGTCTGGGGAAGGTGGCCAACAGGGATGGGTGGGCTTAACCTGAGTTCTGAATGGCCTTCCGTATCCTCCAGCCCAGGTGTGTCTGGTGTCCTTGCTTCTTGCTTTCTTGTGTCGGGTGTGAATCCTAGCGGTCCTCTACCTGGGCTGGATCTATCAAGACAGAGACATACCCAGGACAGGAGGCCGTCACTCTGACAGTGTCTGCAACTTGGCAGCCTGGAGACATTACTGTGACTACTTCCCCATCTCGGTGAGGGCTCCAAAATATGTCTCTGGGGCCGGGTGGAGGCTTTTGGATAGGTACTTGGAAACTTATGCTCCCCCACCCCCGACCAAAGCCCAATCTCACTTGTGGATGGTGTGCACATTTCTGTTCCCTAGCTTGGTTAAAACCAAGGAGTTGGATCTCTCCCAGAACTGTCTCTTTGGGTTTCACCCTCATGGGATTTTTAGCAACTTCTGTACAGAGGCCACAGGTTTCTCCCGCCTCTTCCCAGGCCTCCTCTGGACACACCTGCTCATGCTGCCCTGTTGGTTCCAAATGCCTCTCTTCAGAGACTACATCATGACTAGTGGTGAGAAAGGAGAAGTTCAGCCTCAAACTCTCCAGTCCAGTCCTGGCTATCACCTCCCACCTCTCTCCCATCAGGAAATCCTGGGTCCACCTCTACCTTCCTGATGTCTTTACCCATTCTTCTCTGAAAGACGAGGCATCTGGTTCCCCATCCCCTCCATTCCCCAGGTTTGTTTTCCTCTGACAAGGCCAGTGTTTACTATCTGTTGTCCTGTCCTGGGAGAGGCCAGGTGGTGGTCCTGGCCGTGGGAGGGTCCTTGGAGGCACTGGAGGCAAAGCCTGGAACACAGAGCTTGAGGATCCATGATCAGAAGGGACTTGGTTAAGTGGGCTCTGGAACACAGGTGAGAGCGGTGGGATGGCCAGGGTGAGGACATCCACCTGGACATCTGCTTGCTGGACAGGACCACGGTACACCTTCTGCCAGGAGTCAGCCTCGAACCTGCTCCCCCTGGTGCCTCTCCTCTTTTGGGGAAAATGTGCTCTTCTAGCAGTTCCCAAACCCACCCAGCCTATGGGTGCATTGGGTGCAAGAAGCACTGTAACTGCTGCTGTCTGTGTCCTTGATGCTGCCCCATGGTTGCCTGGGCCTCTTGCTGCCTTTCCTCACACCCATCTACAACATTGGTGAGCCCCAACTTTCCCCCATCCACTTGCTCCCAGCCCCAGTGCCTGTTCCCGGATCTGTGCCTCCTGCACCCTCCCTTTTCTGCAATGGTTAGGGCCCGATGTCCCAGCACTGGGCCATTCATCTGTCACGTCATCCTCATCCCCCAAGCCAGACTTTGGCAACCGCCCCCAGCCTCAGACTCTGTCTGACTGACCCCTGCCAGGGGCCAGCCCCCTCGCCTTGTGTTCCTCCCACAGTGGGCACCCCGATTCCCATGCAACAAAGTCCACTGCCCAACTGGGAGCAGGTGCACACTCTGTGTGAGCTATATGTGGAGCTGCTCACACAGCTGTTCGAGGACCACAAGGCAGTCTATGGTGCCTTGTCCTCACCTAGGCTGGAAGCAACTTCCTGGCCTCACCCTGGCCTCAGTGACTGCAGATCGGGGGAATGACCGACGGCATTTGAGTGTTTGTGCATGGTGAGGGAGGTCAGAGTGAGCCACAGGGCATGGGGGCCACAAGCCACACTGCTCCTGGTAGCCTTTGACACTCCCAGAGACCGGCAAACAGATTATATGCCCATGTGTCAGGGTCGTCCTGCTCCCCATGCTAGAGATCAAAGTCTCGGGCTTCTGACCCAACTGGGTCAGAAGTGGGAAGTGGTCACACCGGTGTCTGTGACCCAGCAGGCAGGCGCCTGCAGTGGTCAGCTGCTTCTTGTCCTCTCCCTACCCCAATTCCTCAGGCATCTGGGTGCGGCCCCTCTTCTGCAGACCCTCTTCCCCCACTCCCAGCCCTGCCCAGCGACCTGCCCAGGCCCACCGACCAAAGAAGTTCAAAGATCAGTTCAAGAAGGATCCTGGGCCCAAAGTCCAAGGATGATCTCCTGGGAGGTGAACTGTTAATCACCAGAGTATACCCAAACCTTCATCATCATCTGTCCTTTGGGTCCTGGATCTGTGCTGGGGGGGAGAGCTACTAGGATTGACATCTCCATAACCCCTCCCACCTCAGGCCCATGCAAACCCTGTAGAAGCAGTGTCTAGAGGTAGAGAGTGCTACCAATATGTGCTGACTTTCTTCTTCATGGGCCAGAGGACCAAGAGAGGCAGGGGGGCCAGGGGCCAGGGGAGAAGAGACTGGAAGGAGAATAGGTGGCCTGCTGGTCTCCATGCCTGAGCCCAAAGGAACCAGGAGAGGGCCAGAGGAGATTGCCGTGATTGGATATTGTGCTATTGGGATATTCAGAAGGGAGAGGCTGGACCAAAGGACTATGTTGCAGAAGTCAAGGCATTTTCCATTCTCAACTCCACCCAGGCCCTTTCTTCACCCTTCTTACCTTCTTTCCCTTCTTTTCATCACTCTGCTCCTTCTCTGTTCTCTGTTGGTGAAGCTCTACTTGAACTGGGACATGCCCAACCAAGATAAGCTCTGAACAGTGGCTCCAGGTAGTGAAAGATGGGAACAGGGTGCTTCCAGCGACTCGGCTCCCCCATCTCTCTGCCTGAAGGTGGAAAGTACTCTAAATGGATGAGGAAGTAGACAATTTGAAAA